AGTCCTATACTTGTCATTTTCTCTGCATGGATGGAAAGATCATCAGGGGCTTTATTTAAATTGTAAATTTCAGGACCCCCGAGCTATCCGTTCTCCCTTGGGGAGGAGGTAAAGTTTACTATAGTTTATATAGGTAAACAACACTTTTGGGTATATTTTGACAATTTTCTGCTGGAAATTAATTTTACTTTGTCAGAATCATCTTTGGTGGATGACGGTATCAAATTGTAAACTTGGAATTCCTGCCCCATCCCCAGGGGTTAGAGCGGGGCCCAAAAGGGAACATTTACAAATATTTTAAAATTCTTATCCTTTGATGACATGACAAGTATTGTATTGTTTACATGCTGATTTCCACATCACATCTAAACAATAAAATAAAGCTACCAGTTCCTATGATATAACTCAGGTGACCGCTAAGGCCCTTGGGCCTCTTGTTTATAATGAAATGTAATCATGGCAACATCAAGTTACTAGGGGTGGGTATTGCATATTGTAAATGATCCCTGTATCCAGGGTGTGGCCCTATGAGGGACAGGGCCCATCTGGGGAATAGATGTCAATCTTCAAAGGCCTACTCCCCACTCCAACAGATTTTAGCTAAATGTTGTGTGAAATATTCTTGGGCCAAGTGGATTCCGTTTTGTGTATCAAAGAGTGGGGTCGTCCTAGGGACATCGGGTCGGGACCCAGTAGAGGGAAATCTTCAAAAGACTACTCCTTCACCACCATTTGGCCAATGGGATTTTTAACTTTATACAAAGGATGAGGGAGGAACAGGTCATAATAGGAGTTAAAAGCATGCCTTAGGCAAGTGGATTCAGTTGTTTTATAACCGCAGAGTGTGGTCCCTTAGGGACAAAGGAGTGGGGCTGCAGAAGGGGAAATTAGTCAAGTCCTTAAATTCAGGTGAACAGAGATTTATGAAAGTTAGTATAAAACATTTTTGCATTGGTAAAGAGAATTTCAGTTTGTTTTATGTTTCCCTAGGAGCCTTGGTCCTGACCCGAATTCTATATTCTCAGATAGAATTTCAATATTCCTATACATATCATAGACTCTATAGTTATTTGTTACATATTGTAATCAGTTGTATGAAGATGTATATTTTGGTAACTTTTGATGGGAAATATGAATATTTTATGAATCAGTCATGCCATATACAATAAAATGATGGTTGGTTGGTGCATTGGCTATTTTCACTTTTCACCAAGATGGCAAGGGTTCCATCCCAACATTAGATGTGAAATGGTGTAGGGGCACCTGCCAAAGAACTTTTTTAAGAACATGTTTTTTCTCTGGATACTCTTGTTGACTGACACAATGGTGATAACTTGCCTAAATACATATTGTTATATTTTGATGATTTGATCATGTTGTACAATATACAAAAAGTGAGACTATCTTTTAAGTTTGAAAAAGGGATTAATAATTAATAAGCATACTGTTCTCAGATTGCCCTACAGTTTCCATAAATTACTCTATCAAATATAACCAGATTCTGATGAAACTTCAGTCTAAGTCAGTGTATATTAATCAAAGACAAGGGCTAAATTTGAAGTTGAGTAAAGTCTTTACCCGGATAATGAAATAGTCGATAGCATTCTGCACTGTGATTGGTTGTTGATTGCCGCAAAATAACTTTCCTGGTAATCAAATATGGCTAGGTTTTGATGAATATTATTTCTTACAAAGGATTATTTTATATTAAAGCAAAATCTGTCTGTTATGAAGAAAAACTCAGGTATTTTGTTGCTTTTAATGGTTTCTAATGAATCGATTATAAGCTAAGAGGAATTAGCTATACATTTAATTTTTAATGGTTGAAAATATGCACGAAGGGAAGAGATTTCTATACAATTAGATACTTCTCAAAGGTATCAAAGGGATGTGACCTACTCCTTCAGCTAGTGAAGTGAAAGTAGGTTTTACACCACATTCCACTGGAAAACCATGGTGCAAAGATTGTTTCTTTTAGTTTAAATTCAATTACATACATTTTATAATGATTCTAATTAAATCATTATGTCATTGGATGGGTGCATATTGATTCACCCATAAAATACTGTTGTTTATAATTGTTGTCAAAATAAATAAAATGTTATTTATATAGTAAAAATCGTATGTGTTCACTTATGATGCCGATGTAATATAAAAAGATGACATGTTTCACTACACTGTGTGTGCACTCACTTAGAGAATTCTGTTGCTATTGGCAGTATTGGGGGATGTAAAAACTAATTTAATTACCACACAGTAATTGTCAATTCGTAATGGGTATCATGCAAAAAGAAAAAAAATCCTTTTGAGTCAGTTTTTTTTATCCCTCCTCACCAAAAGGGTATGCAATGGTGCAGCCTCTGTCATCTGTCTGTACGTCTAGCTATCTGTCTGTACGTCTANGTCTAGCTATCTGTCTGTACGTCTAGCTATCTGTCTGTACGTCTAGCTGTCTGTCTGTACGTCTAGCTGTCTGTCTGTACGTC